GCCCGGGAAGCCCCATGAGGTCCCAGGAGGCTTCAGGAAGCCTCAGGAGGTGTCAGGAAGCCCCAGGGATTCCCAGGAAGCCCCAGGATGCCTCAGGAGGCCCCCGGAGGATCCACGAGGCCCTGGGCGAGCCCTGGGGAGCCCCCGGATGTTCCAGGAGGCCCTAGGAGGCCCCAGGAGGCCCTGGGCGTTCGAAAAATTGGCGAGCGAAGAACGTGCGCCGCGCCAAAGCAGGAGCGCAACTTTCAGAAAACATGCGCGCGGCGCCGAATCGAAGGCGACTTTTCGCCCTGTCGCGCGCGAGGCGCAACGCGCCCCACTCCTGCTACGCATTTCTCAAAGCCGGCGACACGAAAGTCCTCGCTGAGATAAAACATGTCGACTTTGTATTGTTTTTGACACGTGGGATGGCCCCTTCCGCTTGGGGTTGCCCCAGACGTCGGCGCGCGATGCGCGCCGCGCCCCATGACTGCTACGCGTGTCGCAGAGTCGACAACAAAACAATCCATGCTGAGGAAAACAAGAATTTGTACTGATTGTTTACAATCAGGATGGGAAAGCAAGGATGGGGTTGTTATCGGCCGGACAGAAGGGTGAGTATGAACATAGTTTTATGAGGAATAAGGATAAGTGTATGAGTAAACTGAAAGTAAGAGTGAGTGTACGAGACAGAGGATGAGTGCACTTTGGCTCAAGGCCCACGGCTCAAGCTAGCGATTGGCGCGCCGGGCGCGGGGGGCGGGGGCGCCGGGCCGGCATGGCTCCTTCGCCGGGCGCCGACGCTAGAGCCAGGGCTGCTCCGCCACGGCCGCCTGCGCAGCGGGTGCATTCCCGCAGCGACCTCCGCCAGCCAACCAAGGCAGGGGTCAGTCAGGCGGCCCAGGCCCGAGCGCACCAAGGCGCCGGCACACGGGCGGGCGCGCAAGGGCAGGCGCGCCGGGCCGGCATGGCACCTTCGCCGGACGCCGACGCTGGGGGCACAGGGTGTGCCGCTGGCGACGGGAGGCGCCCACAGCAAAGGCCAGACAGCGCCAGAGCAGCGCCGCCAGAGACCAGGCGCAGACGCCAAGTGAAGGAGGAAGACGAAGAGGCAGAGGAAGCGAAGACTAAGGGCGAGGAGAAGAGCGCGGGCACGAGGCAGCCTAGGACCAAGGGCCCAGCCCCCAGGCGCAGAGGAGTGGACGAGGCCAGAGGAAGGCCCACGCCAAACGCCCAGAGTGAGGAGGAGAAGGAGGAGGAGGAGGAGGAGGAGGAGGAGGAGAAGGAGGAGGAGGCTGCGGCGGCGCCGCCGCCGCCCGACCCAGGTCCGCCGCCAGGCCTGTGGACGCTGGTGCGTTGCGGGCCTAGGAAACGACAGCTAGGAGGCCAGGAGCGACAGAGGCAACAGTGGCCGCGCGGCTTTGCGCAGCCGCCGGGCGAGGAGCAAGATGAGGAGGCCGAGGAGGGAGAAGCCAGCGAGGAGGAGGAGGAGGAGGAGAAGGAGGGTCAGGCAAAGGAGATGCCCAAGAGGCCGCAGGAGGCCACGCAGGGCGCAGGCGAGGAGGGCCAAGCGCCACGCGTGCCAGCGCTCGCTCGCAAGACCCGTCGACGAGCTGAGCGGCGGCGCGCGGCTGCAGAATGGAAGGCGGCGCTGGTCGAGCACGTCGCGCTCGTCGAGCGCGCGGCGACCTTCGAGCGGCGGCGGGGTTATCTCGCCAAGAGGTTCGAACGGCGCTGGCTTCAGGCGGCGCTCCAGAAGGTGGCGCGCGAGGCGGCGGACAGCGCAGGCCCGCCACACCACCCGCAACAGCCGCAATCACCGCAGCCCCAGCAGCACCACAACGCGCAACCGCAGCACCAACAGCAGCAACCCCAGCAGCAGCAACCACAGCAGCGCGCCGCCACGACGAGCGCACAGGAGGCTGAGGACGCATCGAAGGTTCGTGGAGGGCAGCCTGGCCGCGCACTTTTGGAGGCCGCGCTACGGCCAGCCGCCGCCGCGGCCACACATAGGAAGGCAGAAGCCGACAAGGAACTGACGCGGGCTGGCCTGAGGGAGGAGCGCGCCAGCCTCGGCGCCGCGGTGCGAGCAGCAACACCACCGAGCCAGCCAGCACCCCAGCGATCGCCAGCACGACGTCGAGAACCACCAGCACGGCCAGCGCAACGGCCGCAGCCACAAAACCAACAACGCCACAACGGCGAGCACTACGACAACGAGCACCAGCACCACGCGCAGCCACAGCAACAGCAGAGACAAGCCCGGTCCCGCAGGGACGCGCGATGGGGGCTGCGAGCCCAGCGGGTCGGGGAAGCGAGCCACCAAGGCCCGCCGCAACAGGAGCCCAGCACCCCAGAGCGACCTTCTGGGGAGAGCGCGCCGCGACCAGCCGAGGCAGAGACGCCGCCCCATCTGTTGGCGCCGGGGCCTTCGCCACGCCAGAATAGCGCAGCGATGAGCGGCCCCCCTCCCACCCGCCGTTTTTCGGCGAAGTGTTCGGCCGGGCTCCGGCGTGCCCGACAGGGCTCGCAGGGCTGGGGGTCGCCGCGCAGTGGGACTTCTCGGGGCTGTTCCCGCCGCGGGCGCCGCGGCGCCCGATCTGCAGAACGGGCAGAGCACGAGGCGGCGGAAGAGCAGCCGCAGGCGCAGCGGCAGCATGAGCAGCGAGACGAAGACAACGAGGCAGACAACTGCGCCAACTGTCGGACGCCGCTCGGAGGGGAGACCGCGACGTGGCCAGCTTGCGGCCACGTCCCCCACCGCTTCCACACGCCGCGCGCGGCTGGGCATCGGCCGACGCGGGCGGGCCTGGCCCACTTGTTCCACACAGGCGGCGCGTCCCGAGTTGAAAGGTCGCCGTGCCTCCTTTGCAACAGCCCGTGGGGTGACTCGCCGGGTGGCGTGGCGGCGCTCGCGGGCCTCGCGGTGCCCCTCAATGAATCTGGAGACTACCCAACCCGAGGGTGCAGGTGCCCACGCTGCCGATTTGCGGCCGGCCCGCCAAGCGAGGACGAGGAGGCGGACCCTTACGCAGGAGAGCCTTCGCTGCAGCCAGGAGGGCCCACGCCACGCGCCATCGCAATCTGCCCGCAACACTTGCAGCCTCTGCGGTGGCGGCACTCTCGCGGGCCTAGCGGGCTGGCGGGCAGCTGGGAATGCTTCGCCTGCGACGTCGCCCCCCTGGGTAGCGATGTCTCGCCGCCGCGGGGCGCGAGACCGCCACAATGCCCCTGCGGACTGCCAGCGCCAATCGAGCGGGTCGCCCGGGCCGCCAGGGCCACAGGAGAGGCGCGGAGATGGCAAGGTGACCGGCTCTGCGAGGGCTGCGCCGCCATGCCGTTTCCTGAGTCAGCGGTCGCTGCCCCTCCACCGCCGCCCGCGCCAGCAGCAGACGCAGGAGATCCTCGACCGGCGTGCCCTGAACAGGCGCCCACCGCCGCAGAGCAACGGCAGCCCGGCCGCTTCGCTGGGTGGCCCCCCCTGGCGGGCCCACTGCGAGCACCAACCAACTCAGACGTTTACGTGCCCTTGCTGTTGGCGGCGGCGGGGCTTCTTGACCAGCAGGAGGCGGCGCGATGGAGCACGCACCCGCTCGCGCACGATTGGTGGCAGCCGATAGTTGAGGCCTTGCAGCGAGCGGACCCCGTGCCAGCCGAGACTCTCGCCGCAGGGCTGGAGTTCGCAGGGGCCAGCCCAGGGACGGCATGTGCCGCGATCGCTGCTGCGGGCGGAGCGCGCCCTGGACATGCGCACCTGCCCCTCGCAGAAAGAGAGCTGGCGGACAGCCCCGGCCACATCGACAACCTCGCCCAGGACCTCTTGCTCGAGCTTTTCGGGGGAGTCGTGCTGGCGCGGGGAGTCGACCAGCGCACGGACGAGCTTCGCGACCCGGCCAGGCGGGCCGCAGCTGCGCCGCGCCCGCCTATGCCGCCACCAGTGGCGCCACCAGCACCGCAGCCCAGCGACGACGCCAGCGGAGGGATGGCAGGAGAAGGCAGAAGCCTGGGCGACGCCAGCGGCGGCAGAACAGGACGAGGCGGCAGAGGAGAGACAGGAGGCAGAGGCAGAGGCAGAGGCGCCAGAGGAGGAAGAGCGGGAGGAGGACGCGGAAGCCCGAGCAGCAGCGGCAGCAGCAGCAGCAGCAGCACCAGCCGCAACGACAGCGACGACGAGCAGAGCGGCAACAGCCAGGGCGCCTCCGACAGGGCCGACGACGCATCGCCAGCGCAGGCCCAGCCACGCAGATGCGGCGGCAGGGCGCGTCGACAACGCCAGGCCCGCTCTCCTTGACAGCGTCGACCTGGAAGCCGAACTCCGCCGCCGGGTGGCGTGCATCCGGGCGCCGCTGGCCTTCCTCCGCGGCCGCCTCCGCCAGCTATACCACACGGTCCTCGAGGAGGTCCTGCGCGCGGAAGCCCTTCCTGACGACAACAGGGTGCAGAGGGAGAGGGCGCGGAAGCTCCTGGTCCTCCTGTGGCGCACGCTGCTGCAAGGGACCGCGAGCACTGGAGCGCCAGGGCGGCGAGAGCTTGAAGCGCGACTGGAGCAGATCGAGGAAGGCCGCTGGGAAGCGCCGCTGGCCCCAAGCCCGCCAGGGCAGCAGCCCCCGGGAGGAGCGCGCGGCACGGGCGACGCCTAGGCGAGGCCCCAGCGCCTCCTGGAAGACGCGGCAGCGCTGGTCAGAGCAAGGGGCCTCAGCAAGGCGCGACAGCTTCTCGCCTCGCGCGGGCTGGCGCAGGGCACGGCGGAAACCTTGGCAGAACTGCAGGACCCCGCCCGGCGATCGCCGAGACCCGCCGCCAACTTGCCGCCAGCCGCCCGAGCGTTCCAGCCAGCCCGGCTCGTCGAGCTCGACCGCCACACCTGGACCGACTGCGTCCGCTCTGCCCCGAAAGGGTCGTCCAGCTCCCTGAGCGGCGCCAGCTTCGAACTGCTCAAGCTGGCCTGGGACGAAGATGACACGCTCGTGCTGCAAGCTGCTGTCGCGGAGCGCTGCGCCCGGGCCGAGATCCCGGCGAGCGTGGCCCGTGCTCTCGGAACCGGCCGCCCGACGGCACTGCTGAAGGACAACGGCCGCGCACGAGGCATTGCCGCAGGGGACGCCTTTCGGAGACTTATCGGCAAGGCCCTCTCCCGGCAGTTTGGGGCCGAGATGGGCGACGCCTGCGCGCTTTTTTAGCACGCGCTTTCAACGAGAGCTGGCACAGACAGCGCCGCCCACTTCCTCCGAGCGGCCACGGACTCAGACCCTGCAGCGACCATCGTGAGCATCGACGGCATCGGAGCTTTCGACCACGTGCGCCGCGACCGCATGATCGAGAAGCTCCTGTCGCTGCCGGAGGCCTCTGCCTCGGTTCCGCTTGTCCTGCTCTCCTACGGCGAGCCGCCCACGTACCTCTGGACAGACGACGCGGGAGTCGCCCACGAGGTGACGCAGGGGGGAGGAGGAGAGCAAGGCGATCCGCTCAGGCCGGCGCTCTACGTCCTCGCCCAGCACGGCGCTGTGGAGTGGGCCCGCGCGCAGCTGCAGCCGGGCGTGGCGCTGATCGCTTACTTGGACGACGTCTACTTTGTCAGCTGACCAGAGCGCGCCACAGCAGCTTTCCACGTGGTCACCGCTGCCATGCGTGAATGGGCAGGCATCGAAGCGAACTTGGGCAAGTACCGCCTGTGGAGCCGCCGGGCTTTGAACCAGCAGGGCACTTGGCTTTGGGCACAGACGTCTGGGTGGGCGGCGCCCACACGCCTGAGGAGCGCCGCGGCCTCAAGGTTCTCGGCACGCCCCCGAGCACCACGGCGCTCGCTGCCCCGCTGACGTAGGAAGGAGGGCGGACGAGGAGCGCATCTTCCTACGAGAACTTCCCAACTTGCCTGACCTGAGCGCTCCTGCTGTACTGCGCGGCGCCGAGGTGCAAAATAATATTTCCATTTCATTCCGTACCGCAGCGGTGGGGTCCGGAGCGCCGCGCGCGGTCGCGCGCCGCCCCAGCGCCCCCCCGCGCGCGGCCCGCTCAGGTCGCAGCCGCCCCTGCGACCCCAGGGCCAGGGCCACGGGGCTGGCCCCGTCTCGGGCAGGGTCTTTCACCTCCGTCGTGGACCAGCCCAGGCGCCGCAGCAGGCAACGGCGCACTGGCCCCGTGGCCCGCGCTACCCCTCCCTGGCGCGCACCTTGGACAAGAACGAGGCGGCGCCCCTGCCCCCCCCCCCGGCCGCAGACGGCTCGGGAACGGGCAACGGCAGGGAAGATACGCGAAGCAGCGGAGAGGGAGAGGGGAGCGGGAGGCACGATAGGGCGGCCAGGCAGAGGGGATGGATCGGCTGCTGCCCCAGACACGCGCGGTGCTGGGCGGCTGCACGGGGCCCCTCGGGCACGCAGACCGAGGCACGTCAGTGCGTCACGCGGCTTCCCTGTGGCAGAACGCGTCCGGGCCGATCGAATCAGGCAGGGCGCGCGCCACGAAAGGAGTACGTGGTGCCATCTCTGCTCGGGCGGCGGCCCATCGCGAAAGAGCTGGTACAGGTGCGCGCCCGCCTGCGACAGCAGCGCCTCCAACTTCCGCGCGCCGCACTGTCTGCTCGGAGCACCCGCAGAGCGCATGGGCTATCTCCACGTGCCAGGCGCCGCACGCAGCACAGCGGGCCAAGGCGACAGGGAGGCACGGCACGCCAAGCACAGCAAGGGGCCATGCCCCGGACATACGTGCCACGGCCCACATGCGGAACTCGCGCCACGTACGCGGTCCAAAGTCCAGACCGAGCCTGCCCACGGGTAGCTGGTGGGGCTGAGGGACAAGAACGGCATAGGACACACCGAGCGCGGGCAGGCGGGCGCACGCGGCGCGCTGGAACGCCGCCAAGTCACGCGCCCTCAGGGCCGGGCGGACCACTTGGAGTTTAAAGTTGCGCAGTACAGACCGGCGCAACTCCAGCGAGCAGCGGGCGTTGCGCAGCGGGTGGCGGAAAGCGGGGTGAACGTCAATGTCCAGGATTCAGCACGCTACGACGCTCGCCCAGGTGGTGCACGAAAGGGAGCGCGCCAAGGAGAACATGCGGGCGCCGGAGTGCTCCGCAGGCTGCGCCAGCAGGCGGGCGCGCGCCATGATCGCACGCTCGAGCATCCGCGTGCCCGAACGGCGGCACGTCCAGCCGCATTGCACAACAGCCACCTCGGCAGGCAAGGGGGGCCCAGTGGCGCACGCCAGGAGCCGTCTGGCCCGCATGGCCTGCATGCGATTCAACTCGTATTCAGCGCGAGGCCCACGACCGCTCGCTGCAGGAAGCGCTCCACGGCTTCCTTGACCTCGACCCGGAGCCAGCAAGGAGGCAGAACGACTCTTCCGAGTCAGCTCGCTGCCGCTCGGCCTCGGCGGCCTCGGACTGCGGTCTGCAGCGCTCACGGCCGAGTGCGCGTACTGGGCGCCCTGGGCGGACGCGCTCCCCAGGCTGCGACAGGGAAACCCTTGAGCAGCAACGGAGCTCACCGCCGCCCTCCGCGCAGGGATTGGCGCTGCAGCCGCGTGCCTCCAGGAGGCAGAGCGCGCGAGGGCTGCCGCCGCCCGCTCTGGCTTGGCGACGTGCCCAACTTGGCAAGAGGTCTGGGATGGCACGCGCCCTGAACAGACAGAGCCAGAGCTGGGTGAGTGGAGAACCACGCCTCAGCAGCCCGAGAGCGGCGCTACAGGGAGGAGGTCGTTCTCCCGAGCCTCACGGACGACCAGCAGAAGAGGCTCGACTCGCAGGGAGGCCGCTGCGGCGGACGGCACCTGGCCCTGATCCCCTCGACACCAGAAAGCACGTTCACGCCAGAGCGCTTCCGGGCACTGGTCCCGAGACGGCTCCGCTTGGCGCTGGACGCCACAGTAAGCAGGTGCAACGGGCGCTCCTGCCAGGCCCACTTGGACGAGAGAGGCGACCACAGAGCAGCTTGTCCCCGCAGCGGACGCCTGCTCAAGCGCGGCGCCCCCATCGAGCGGATGTGGGCCTGGGTGCGCCGGGAGGCAGGAAGCCGTGTCCGCACCAACTTGTTGCTGCGCGACATGAACCTCCCGGGCATTGCCGCCAACGACGAGCGCCGCGTCGAGGTGGTGGCCAACGGCCTCCCTGCCTAGCACGGCAGGCAGCTCGCCATCGACGCCTGCATCGCATCCCCGCTGAGGGCCACCGGCAGGCCGATTGCGAGGAGGCTCCGCCCAGGACTCGCGCTGAAACGGGCGAGGCGCCGCAAGCAGACGACTTACCCTGAGCTTGTGGGCTCGCGGCGGAGCTACCTGCTCGTAGCCGGGCGGCCGCTGGGGCGAGGAAGCGTACAAGCTCCTTGTTACCCTGGCCCGCGCCTGGGCGAGGAGCGCGCCGGCGGCGCTGCGAGGGTCGCCTGCGACTGCACTGTTACACAGGTGGAGCGGCATGGTGGCGTACGCCATCCACGACGCCCTTGCCGCGAGCCTGCTCGAGGACGTGCCCTCTGAGACGCTAGCGACAGATGGGGAGAATCCCTGGCGAGGGGACGTTCTGTCGGCGCTCCCCTGATGGAGCACCGGCCCCCGCGCGGGGGCGCGCGCGTGCAGGGCGGGGCACGGCAGCTCACAGGAACGCCGACAGCAGAGCTACGGCGAACAGCACCACAACCACCACGGCGACCAGCACCACCACGACTACGCACCACCACGGCGAACAGCACCACCACCAGCACCACCACGACCAGGAGGACCACCACGACCAGCACCACGCCAAGCACCACCACGGCGACCAGCACCACCACGTCCAGCACCGTCACAGCGACCGGCACCACCACAGCGACCAGCACCACCACAACCAGCACCACCACGACCAGGAGGGCTACCACGACCAGCACCACCACGGCGACCAGCACCACCACGGCGACCAGCACCACCACGGCGACCAGCACCGCGACTACGCACCATCACGGCGACCAGCACCACCACGACCAGCACCACCACGACCTGCAGAACCACCACGACCAGCACCAACACGGCGACCAGCACCACCACGACTACGCACCACCACCACGGCGACCAGCACCACCACCAGCACCACGACCAGGAGGACCACCACGACCAGCACCACGACCAGCGCCACCACGGCGACCACCACCACGACCACCGCGACCACGGCCAGGAGGACCACCACGACGACCGCGACAGGCACCACCACGACCACGGCCAGCACGACCACGGCCAGCACGACCAGCACCACCAACACCACGACCAGCACGACCACGGCCAGAGGACCACCACGACCACCACCACCACCACGACCAGCACCACCACGACCACGGCCAGCACCACCACGGCGACCAGCAACGCCACAGCGACCAGCACCACCACGGCCAGCACCACCACGGCCAGGAGGACCACCACGACCAGCACGACCAGCACCACCACGACCACGGCCAGCACCACCACGGCGACCAGCAACACCACAGCGACCAACACCACCACGGCCAGCACCAGCACGGCCAGGAGGACCACCACGACCAGCACCACCACGGCGACCAGCACCACCACGGCGACCAGCTCCACTACGACCAGCACCACCACGGCGACCAGCACCACCACGACCAGGGGCAGCACGGCGACAAGCAGCACCACGAGAGCAGCCAGCAGCACAGAGAAGGAGGAGGAGGAGGAGGAGGAGGAGGAGGAGGAGGAGGAGGAGGAGGGGAGGAGGAGGAGGAGGAGGAGGAGGAGAAGGAGGAGGAGGAGGAGGAGGAGGAGGAGGAGGAGGAGGAGGAAGGAGGAGGAGGAGGAGGAGGAGGAGGAGGAGGAGGCGGCGGCGGCGGCGGCGGCGGCGGCGGCGGCGGCGGCGGCGGCGGAGGCGGAGGAGGCGACGCCGGCGCCGGCCCGAGGCAGCGCGGCGGCGCGGAGGGCGAACGCAGCGCCGCCGGCGCCGTCCCGAGGACAGGCGCGAGCGCTGCCAAGGGAGGCGGAGACGGCGGCCAGCGGCAGAGCCTGGCGGCGCGGCGCAGGCCGGCCACAGGTTCGTTCAAGGGCAGAGGGGGGA